TCCGGGACCTCTCGAGTCGGCGACACCATGAAACCCGGCGTACAAACCACTCGGTCATAAAATCTTAAAATAGAAAATACTAGAAAAATATCCCTTAAGTCCTGGTATCGTATCTATAAAAATATGAGAAAAATACCAGAGTTGATTTTTGACTTGTTTTTGACATTCTTTAAATATTTTGAGAAGATTCAACTAACAACAAATTTATAATAAAAGGTTGGGGAAAAAGATTTTTCGCATTAAAGTATGTATGAACTTGTAATAAAATCTCTTTGGCTATACCATTTGTATCTGGCTGGCTTTAGTATCATTAAAATGTTTAAATTTTTAGTAAGATAAAGCCAAATTCAATTTAGAAAAATGTGCGATTTGCATTTGCTTTTCTTACTGTCAACAAGATGAGTGAATTTGATGAAGAAATTAGATACATTTCTCAAATTTTACTACAAAACGTTAAAAATGTAGCTGCCAAAACCACTTGTCGCGGATTTCTATCAGAAGCCCCAAATTTTCTATAGCAATGGGTCATGTCCCTACCTACAAGATGGCAAAAAGTTATCGAACAAAATGGAACCTACATACTTTCGTTAAATGTAAATAAATTTTATTAAAAATGTTTTTAATTTTCATCTAAAATGCGAAGAAACTTTTCCTCCAACAATATAAAGGTATATTTTTAGGGTTCCGTAACTCAAAAGGAAAAAACGGAACCCTTATAGGATCACTTTGTTGTCCGTCCGTCCGTCCGTCTGTCTGTCAACACCGTTATTCTCAGGAACGCGTGGAGGTATCAAACTGAAATTCATATCTAATATTCATGTCTACTGTCCCTTGGAGCTGTGAAAAAATCAAACTTCTAAGCCAAAGCAATCAAAAGATACAGCCGTTTATGCCGCAAATTTCCGCAAATTTTCGAAACTCGCACGGGAATCAAAACCTACAGGGTACTTCCCGTGAACTTAGAATCTTGAAATTTGGTACGAAGTAACGTCTTATAGTACAGACAAAGGAAAAATTGCGAAAACCGTATATTTTTAGTTACATCATAAAATAAAAATATTTTTGTAAATTTTAAGGTTACTACCTCTTTTCTCATGAACGCGTAGAGGTATTAAATTGAGTTTGTACGGAACCCTCGGAGCGCGAGTTCGACTGGCCAGATTTTTCCTAGAGAAATACCTCAATACTATACTAGGACTTAGAGGTAATTTTAGCATTTTTTTTTAATTATGACAAATGTTTAACTTGAATCTTTTTAAATAATTTTTAACGTTTTTTTTAAACCAAATAAATTTTTACATAAAAATTAAACTTATCAATAAGTTTTTAGATATTCTTGAAAACTGTAAGGTACGCGAATTGTGTTGGATACTACGACATCACGTGACCCCTGATCAAGTACCCGCAAAATAAGCGAGGTGTTGTAGTTTAACTAAAATTATTGTATACTAGTGGCCGCCCGCGACTTAATCCGCGTTAACTTTCTTTTTTTGAATAATCCCACCGGAATCTGAAGATAAAGTGATATTAACAGTATTATCCTATGTCTCAATCTAAGTCACACACTATATCAACCAAGTTTCATCCAAACTAGGTTCGCGTTCTAAAGAAGAACCGATTTCAAGGACCGCTTTGTGTTCCGCGACGATAGAACCGTTTTACGTTTCGGATCAAAACAGTCTTCGTCGAACGACTAGTCCTCGGATTGTCTACACGCCAATATGTACTTTATGATGTAGTAAGTACAGTCTATAATAGAACGCAATGATATGAGGCCGTTTTGTTCTATGATAAATGAAGCTTTGATTTTACAATAATATAATCTTTATTATTAAACGAAAGTCGATTATCGTATAACACTACATTTATTTCGATGTTTCGTCGCCTTGTTCGCAGCAACGAAACGAACGTTAACAAGATTTCATTTAGTTCAGTTTCGTAGCGTTACATTCGTTCGACCGTCGCGTGTCGTTTCGTTGCGTCACCCAGCCGCAACCAAAACCAGTTGTGAACGAGAACCGTTTCGAGGACTAGTTTTCGTTTAAGTGAAAACGGTTGCGTTTCGTCGTCAGAAAATTTGAGAACGACCCACCGCTAATCCAAACAAACTCACTTTTGCGTTTATAATATTAGTTAGGATTGTGACTTTGCAAATAAGAATCGTATCTAAATTATATAATGATGAAAACGGTTTGTTTTTTACATATAATGAATGTAATTCTGTGAAAATTTACATGATAAAAAGAAGATGATTTTTTCAAGACCATTGTGTAAGGTTTGTCATTTTAAAGAGTATTTTCTGTGACATATTTGTTAAAAGTAGTCTTTTGACTTGCATTATCGAGTAATGGGGGATTCAAGATGGTGGTGTGCATGGCGCGAGTGGTCTTGACTGAGCTCTCGTACTGGACGGTTGTGTAATGAAATGTAATAATGAAAGTGAATAATAAAGGTGTATCTAGTGTTGAATATAAACATAACACTTTTTTCTCAGTTTTCAATAGTGTATGAAAACACTACAATCACTCCAAATATGTATTGTAACTATTCCAACTTTCATGGAGTCTTGTGAGTGAAATCTATTTTGAACTTGGTTTGGTGAAGAAATAAGAAGACCTTTTTAACTTTTTAAACCCTTTTTAATATACTGCGCAGTCGGCTTACTTACCTATATTTAACAAGCACTTGTACTGCTTGTTAACAGTCTAGACTAGACCAAATAATAATATTTAATGTTGGTATAAAGTTTATACTATCAAACGTGAACATGTTTTTAAGCAAACGAATATTTAGTGAGTAACCACTTTGGAACGATAACAGTTTTTAAAATTTCTCATTATACATGATACTTTAACAAATAATAAGGGCAAAAGGGCAAAAGGTCTACAAGGAACGCGCTTAGACAAGATGTAATTACTTTTATAGAGACTTTTTTTGTAGGTAAAAACGTATTTCAAACTTAAGCAGTTGGTTATGTATCTTCGCCGCGCCTCTCTTGGTGTGCGCTGCGCCTCTCCTATACTTCGACTTTTTATTAGCTGCAGTAAAATGACGTTTCATAATGTCATTACGTAAAATAATGTTGACAGCCTAATTTCAATAGGGATGTGATTAGGTTCACAGAAAATTTAATCGTTCCATAACTCATAATGATCATACTTAATTCTATTTATTATTCATATAAATAAAAGGCTGTATAAAATCTCAAGTTGGTACTGGTTTTTAGTTACGGTGCCACGATGAGGCTTGTCCGCCATTTTATTTCATTTGTCATTCGCACATTCGGCTTCTAACTTCTGTTTTGAGTGCACGAATAACTTTGCTTTGTCCACTGCGAGTTGTTTTAGTTTTTTTTTTTTTATATTTCCAACACTCACGCCAATTAGCCTAGCCCCAAAGTAAGCACTATAAGGCTTGTGTTATGGGATATTAGGGTAACGGATAGAATACATATACTGTACATTATAGTATATTTACATAGAAATACATATTAAACATCCATGACTGGAGTATAAATGCTCGTATTCATCACACAAACATCTGCCCCCACCGGGATTCGAACCCGGAACCTCTCGAGTCGGTGACACCATGGAACCCGGCATACAAACCACTTGGCCACGAAGGTCGTCAAATTATATATTGTTAAATTTTTGTTACGTTGTGTTTGTTTTTCGTTACCTACTTACTTTTGTTAATCGTGTCAGCTTTTATTTGTTTGTTACATCGAAGACATGGATGCTCAGTTGAGCACATCATAAGATGGAGATACATTTTTATCTCCTAAGAAAAAAGGCCACGTGTAGCTCTAAGTGCAACTGAGAAACTTTGGGTCAGAAACGTTTACAAATATGTGTTAGAAGTGAAATCTACAGAATCAAATATTGAAGTTCCAAAAACAAGTGAATGCGTCAACAAGGTGGCTGAAGTCTTGGGAATATCCGTCCGCACTGTTTATTACGTTTTAAACGAGCACATGGAGAACGACTGTGAATCACCAAAGCCTCCCGAAAAACCTGGCCGAAAACTTACATTTAAAGAAAAACTTGATGATTTCACAATCCGCTATTAGACCAATTGTACATCACTGTCTTTCATAGAAATGAAGTACCCACCATCGCAAAGGTTAATTTACCTGTCATCACTAATCTTTTTATTATACTTTAGGTATAATATGTTTTCTCCCACCCCATGTGGAATTTTAACCAATTAGATGTGGCTGACCACTAAAAATATTACATTTGAACCAAATATGGTGAAGGCCACTCTCATAGATATTGTGAAACAACAAAATCATACTGAAAAATATGCCGTGGACGAGATTGCTGCACAAAAAGGTATCAGACTTTTAAGACCGCCCCCTTATCACTGTGAATTGAACCCCATCGAGTTGGTTTGGGCTCAGGTAAAGGGGCACGTCGCAAACAATAATAAAACATATAAAATACAAGAAGTGAAAACTTTATTCCAAGAAGGAATCAACAGTGACACCGGCTAAGTGGAGTGGAGTGACTCTGTGTCTCACACTATAAAAGAGGAAGACAAAATGTGCCACCTCGATCATATTAAAGATGAAGTGACAGACAGATTTTGTCATTAGTATGACCGAAAGCGACAGCGATAGTGATTCCGAAAATGATTGATTAATAAATAACATTGTTATGACTTTTTCTTTATTGTTTAATTTTGGATGTACGTCCCTATAAAAAAAAACAATCCTTTACTATAGTAATAATAATAGAATGAAAAAGCATTACAACTTAATATTAAATCTCTTAAACAAAACCAAACTGATCATTCATTTATTGAATGATTCACTTACTCACTTAGCTACATCCCTATTTATTTTTCTTCAAAAAGCGGTAACCCACAAAACGTCATTTTACTGCAGCTAATAAAAAGTTCTACTTTAGTGTGCGCTGCGCCTCTCCCGGTATGCACTGCACCTCTCCTGGTATGCGCTGCGCCTCCCGCGGTGTGCGATGCGCCTCTCCCGGTGTGCGCTACGCCTCTCTTGGTGTGCGCTGCGCCTCTCCCGGTGTGCACTGCGCCTCTCCTGGTGTGCGCTGCGCCTCTCCCGGTGTGCACTGCGCCTCTCCCGGTATGCGCTGCGCCTCTCCCAGTGTGCGCTGCGCCTCTCCCGGTGTGCACTTCACCTCTCCTGGTGTGCGCTGCGCCTCTCCCGGTGTGCACTGCGCCTCTCCCGGTATGCGCTGCGCCTCTCCCGGTATGCGCTGCGCCTCTCCCAGTGTGCGCTGCGCCTCTCCTGGTGTGCGCTGTGACTCTCCCGGTGGGCACTGCACCTCTCCTGGTGTGCACTGCACCTCTCCTGGTGTGCGTTGCGCCTCTCCCGGTGTGCGCTGCGCCTCTTCTGGTGTGCGTTGCGCTTAAGAGCAACAAGGTCATGATTTATTTAACATTTTGTTTTTTTTTTCAGGTACGATCACACATATACAGAGTTTTGGCGTTTTGACTCATTCGGTATGTAAATAAGGTTTATCCAAATCTCTACTGACACAGTATTATAATCACTCGCAGAGTCTGCCTTTAATATTTAGAAGCTTTTATTTAACTTGCACTGTTCGTATGTATGTAAGTTGTCCACTTGTTGTTGCCTGATTCAGCTAAAATTTGGCTTACTTATGTAAGTCTGTTGACAATGCATTATAAGGATATCATGTAGCTGATCTGATGATGAAGCTGGCAACAGGCAACGCCATCAAGTTTGGGCTTGCCCTCTAGTTGAGCTGACTCTCTTAGGTAGGAGTGGTCTAGAGGCTCCAGACGGAGAGGGGACTCCCCCCGTGGGGAGATGCCATCCGTCTGGAACACCTCTAGAGGCACTCGCCGATTCTCGGCTTGAGTTCCCCTTAGGACCTCGCCCTCCCCAAACCCGGTGACGATGTAAAGGTCATTATAGGTCATCTGAGACCAACAGCATACACACTCAAAAAAAAGTTTGGGCTCATATGATTCGCCTTGACGAGTATTTGGTCTTTAGATGGTATCCAAGATCTGATGATGGAGCGAATAGTAGCCAGAGAAACTCGGTTATAAACGACATAACGCTATCATCATCATCAGCCTATTAATGTCCTCACTGCTGGGGCAGAGGCCTTCCCTATGGATGGATTAGGGCGATTGGGCCATGACCCACCACGCGGGCCCAGTGCGGGTTGGTGGGTGCTAACGACTGCAGATGCAGCCGGGACCAACGGCTTAACGTGCCTTCCGAATCACGGAGGAGCTCGAGATAGCAAATTTTTGGTCATCCATCCAATGACCGACCACTGCGAAAGTTGCTCAATTTCAACGACCGCAGCCGAACGCGCTTACCACTGGCGCCATCGAGCTCCTCAGCTTTGATATGCCAATCTTCGAAAGGTGGGTAAACCTTTTGCTTCAGAGTAGGCAACGCATGAGTGGTGCCCTTGGTACTGCAAGTGTCCATGGGCAACAGTGATCACTTACCATCTGGTGGACTGCCAGCTCGTTTGCCTGCATAAACATAAAAAAGTATGTTGACCTACGAAATTTACGAACAGGGAGAAAAAAAAACAGCCCTTGCTGAGTTTCTTGCCGTTTCTTCTCAGTACAAGGTCTTTCGCTATAGATTTATGAACCGATGGAGTAGCTTCTAAGACATTCATGAGTGCTTGTAACAGCCTAAACTGAAGAAATGATTATATGATTATGCTGTAATTATACGTAATGCTATCAAGAGAGATCAGTAATAATAAACAAAACTTTGAGCAAAATTAATGTAAAAAGTTAGAGGGTAAAGTTATCTGGTGGGAAACTATAATGTATATCTACTGTAAGGACTAACTTAATAATTTTTTATAGAAAAATAACTGTCCCAGCGAACTTCGTACCACCATAAAAATAGGGGTTGGTGGTAGAAGGGTGGGAATTTAGGGTTATATGCATTTCTGTATGATGTATCATAAAAAAAAAATAAAAAGAAGATCCCAAAAAATAAAAAAATAATGTTAGGGGTGGACAACCCTTAACACTTAGAGGTATGAAAAATAGATAGTAGCCGATTCTCAGACCTACTGAATATGCATATAAAATTTCATAAAAATCGGTCAAGCCGTTTCGGAGGAGTATGGTAACTAACATTGTGACACGAGAATTTCATATCTAAGATTACCCCAAAATTACAAGATGGCAAAAACTGATCAGCAAGGTGCTGTTGTATAAAAATGTGCCTGCTACCCTACACTGTTGTCGATGGGACTCGTTTAACTCTTGATATACCAAACCAAGTCACGGTGGTGGGCTCTCATAGGTGCCCCAGTCAGTTTCAAAAACCCCACTCCGTGTTTGGACTCTTTAGATTATATTTTTAGAGAAATTCGCTCAGATCTTATGTTTTTACAAGGGATATTACATTTAGACATTATGTCGAGTTCCACCGCAGTTTATACGACTAAATCTCTGAACATTATTAGGTATTATTCTGATTCAATTTGGGCCTTTAATTACCACGCTAGCTTAGCAGGGAAACGTGGTTGCGAGGTATCTAACGATTTTAATCTGTGTTGGAATGCTATAAAATTCGCTTCGAATCCACATCATTTACTCGGTAAATTCCTTTATAAGCTACCTAAAGATCTTTTTTTCAAGTCTGGATGCTATTTCGTTTTTTAACTAAACAGTACATTGAAAATAATTCAATCCTCTCGTATAACCTTTTTGTTGTACCTGCTCATTTCAATCACTCAATTCTTTTATTCTCTTATTGTTTAGAGAGTGAAATTACATTGGCATTGTTTTGATTGTCTGTCAATAACTGTTCAATTGAAAATGATTAATCACTAATCCCTTTCTAATCGAGTTCTGCCATAACTTTAGTCCAATTAAACAATTGCAATAATTTACAGATTTAAGCAACTTGTATATGGAAAAGTTTTACAACTGACAATAACAGAAATGATTGAATTTAAGTGTCACTTTAAAATCTAGATTAAGAAATGGCAGGTGCATAGGATTCATCGATTGAATAAGAGATCTTTCTGCCATAAACGAAACATTCTATAGGCTAGATGACACTTTTTGGAAATATGTTTAAAATGGTCAATAATTGTTCTATTAGACCGAAAAAAAAATATTGTGTTTTTTTACCTAGAAATCTACAAAACTTTAATATTAAAATAGATTTTTCATGGACATACAAAAACGCTGTCGGCCATTTTAGTTTATTGATTATCTATGCTATGACGTCAACAAAATTGTAAACAAATCTGAATTTATTTTATAAAACCATGATTTCTAATAGATTTCATGATAAATATAGTGATTATCATGATTGTATTATTCGCTATGTGCGAAGTACATGGTGGGGGTATAGTGAAGCGATCGCAGCGCTTATCGTGGCAGAAATACGCAACAATCCGGGAAAGTAAAGTCAATTTGCACGGAGTTCGTAATAAACAAAAATTTTTTAAAATGCCTATTAATAGATGTTGTTGTGTTGTGAATTGCAAAAATAAGGGCACAAATAGTCTGTGTATATATTTCCTACATTGGACTGGAAATTAAATCAAAGAAATAAATGGATAGATGCCATAAAAAGAAATAAGTAAGCGAAATAACCTTAAATTATGGTCAATTTTATTTGCGCTATATATTTTATGTGATATTCATTATTGTCTTTATTATTTTAGTGTTGATGGGTCGCCATGGTATCCCAAACCTGACGACACAATTTGTAGTGAACATTTTATGGGAAACAAAAAATCAGACGAGGAAGAAAATCCGAGTTATGCTCCTACGATATTCCCTGAAATATATCGAAAGAGGAAGGTTAATGATTCACAGGTCCTAGCTAGATATACACGCTTGACAAAACGAAGAACCACAAAAGTCTCAGATACCACATCAAGTCAAATAATAATTGAAGAAGGGAGTGAATTAAATCAAACTCAACCTTTTATGATCGATCAAGGATGTCAAGTCAATATGTTTTCTGAATCGAAATTAAGAGATACAACTTTTATTTGTATTAGATTAATTTACAGTGATCACTGTGATCCAACATCAAGAATTTTAATGACAAATAATTCAAGAAAGAAAGATAAAAGCTGTGGCACTGACAAAAAATCGTATGAGGATCAATCTACCGAAACAAAAAGTCAAGAATTTGTTGGTATTTCATCAATAACAAATGATCAAGAACTCCTAGATCCTTCTGGTGTGTTATTTAGCAATTTTGAGTTTTTATTAACAAGATTAACTATGAGAAAATGTACAGTTTCCACTAAAGACCGACTTCTGATTTTTTTGATAAAAATGAAAACTGGCTTGACATTTTCAGCATTGAGTGTGTTATTTGGTGTACAAAAAAACCACAATCTCACGTATATTTCATTCGATCTTACAAAATCTAGCTTGTTCAACTGCTAATTTAATCTTTTGGCCGAATAGAGCCACCGTACAAGCACCAATGCCCAAGTGTTTCAGTCCAGATTACATCAATACAAGAGTTATTATTGACTGTACTGAATTCCGAATTGAAATCCGACATTATTTAAATTATTATACAATATATAATAATTTTTATTTATCTTTACCTTACTATATTTACTAGAAATCAATAAAATACAAACTGATGTCATTATTTGGCATAATCCCGGAAAGTTGCGCATTGTAGGTGGCGCTACTGTCGTGCACATAGCGAATACGAGAATGTAGAAACACATCGTTAAAGTTGTGGTATAATTGCCTAGAGAAATGCACATACCTACACATGAACACATGTTTAAAACTTGTCTGTCAAGTCCTGTAATTTTATCGTCTGAAAGTCATTTCTTTTAGCAAAGATCACTTTAATGTAAGTACTCATTGAATAATATTTAAAGTTTAAAAATCCAATTTTGAAGGTTATGAAAGTAACTCCTAACTTAAAGAGTTTTGTCGTTTCTGCTTTCACAAATCTGGCATCCAGCATTAATTTAGTCAACAAAACCATAGATAAATTATTAGTCTCACGAGACCAATCATTCATCTATGAACAAAACCAATAAACGGAAACTTTACTACAAGATATAGGTATAAGTTTTTAGATATATTTTAGTCCGACGAAAGACACCACAGTAACACGACAATGATGTTTAGTTGTTTTCAAATTTTGTGTAGTAACAATCATGGTGGACAGTTTTTAGTTTTTAAAAACCATGGACTAAAAAAATATTTTTCAAATAAAATAACTATAGCCAACTTCTAATTTTATGAAGCGAAATCGATGTATTTGGGTTCCTCATACCTAAAATTATAAGAAATAAACATTTGTTTAGTGCAATTTGACATGAGTCAACTAGCCTATTGTCTACTTCACTTATGCTGACAATAGCTTCTTTGCGCGTGCTTATAAAAATACTGTACAGTACCCCTAGCACGAACCATTATCGATTTCGAATAGTTTGCATACCGATATGTCAATGTCAAATTTTGTATGGAAACTTGAACAGCAGCGGCACAAAGTACGTAACGAGAACGAAAAATCAGTACACATTTGACAATGACATTTCGGACTCGCAAATGTTACGAATTCGGTTTTGGTTTGTGCTAGGGGTACTGTACCCTTAGCACGAACCATTATCTAATTCATATCGTTAAAATTTGACATTGACATTTCGGTTTGCAGGTGTACTGCTCTCAGGCACGTACACAATTCAATTTCAAATAAATTAAACGAGAAAGTACCTACTACCAAAGATGCCTGACATTTTCCTCCCGATAACGTGATTGAAAGTAGGAAAATACCCAAAGTCTGATAGGAATGTAATTGTTGTAACCAAGAAGGTTGAAACGTAGATACTTACCTACCTACTTGTTGAACGTTGAATCATAAAATAGAGAGTGCAGAAGGTAACCTCATGTATGTACTTCACTTTGCATACCAACGCTCAGCGGTCGTGCTAGGATTGTCAACTTTGGCTTACGCACAAAAGCCAATCGTGGTAGTAGCACTCGTATCTAATTGTTTGATTTACTGTCGAGAATGTAAGAGAAAGAACGTAAATACATATAAATAATATGTTAAAAAATTATATTTTAATATAATTGTTGTATCACAGACAGTTAACGGTTTAGTGTTGAATTTAAACAACGGTTTACAGAACAGATAAATTCGTTACATTTTATCGTTGCTCCATTTTTGCACAAAAGAGTTCTCACAGACGCGTATGTCAAGCGGATGGAACTCATGCTCGCAATTGTCCCTACTGGTTCGAGATACCGTGTCCGTGAGCGGTGGTTATTTGTGTGAGTTACTCGAGCGCACTTTTTTATGTAGATTACCTTCTGTACTATCAATTTTGTGTTTAAATGGAGCTATGTTGCAGCATGGAAACGGCGCTACCGACAACCGCCCCGCAAAGGTTTTCCGAATCCATAATAAAGGTCTTATTGTTTGCTCTTTTGTTTTGACGTGACAACGTCTTAAATTAGGTTGCGGCTGGGAGTCACTTATGAAAAAGTGTAACGCTCGGTAACGTTACGATGAGTCTCTCGTGTTAAGTTTAAGTTTACATGTACAATGTTTTAGTAAACAAAATATATTTCTATAGTTAAAATTTGTGCAATTCTTATTTTCATTCAATTCCTTGTTCCTATTGTGCAATTTAATTATATTCATATCAATAAATATTCTACCGAGAAAAAGACGTTGTCACGTAAAATCTTCGCCCGTAAAACCGACTTTACAGGCAACCATTTTTTTTTTATTTGCACATTTTTTCCGGTGTTGTTGATGTTGAACCTTATTTGACAGCAAGCGAGGATGTTTGGAAAACAAAACGTTTGTTTTCGTTGTTACTTTTTTTTAAAACCAACTCTTGTTGTTTGTTAGGTCAATATTAAAAATTTGACGAATGATACTTGTAAAATTGTGAAAGTGTAAATAACAGTGTGATATTTGAAAAGATGAATCAATAACATCAATTATTTTTTTAGTGATTTGGAAATTTAAAATAAAACTTTGACTTTGACTTTGACGAGCATTTATTCACGTAACGTATTTGACTTTAATAAAACGCAAATCATGGGATTCATCTTTTTACCCATTCATTAATATTTTTTACTATGTAAGTACTACATTATTACTAACAACTATTCATTACACCAAAATTAATACACGAATAATTGTTGTCAAACAAAATCACGTAAAATCTTATTTCCCCATATAAATAACATACATATTGCTTAAACAATACAAATAATTATATCCCCCTCTCAAAGCTTTCTGATTTTGAATAATATAAAAAAACTAAAATTTTAGAAAAAT